TATACCAATACAATTCAATCAAATTCATCTACTGTTACTGAACTGATCTCATTCTACAGCACCACCAATTTCGCTGGTGACGAAGTTCTGGTTTCTACCACCTACACCCTAGGACCTCTATCTGATCCAGCTGCTTCCACAACCGAAATAGTATCAGGATCATCTACTGTTACTGAAGTGATCTCCTTCTACAGCACCACCAATTCCGCTGGTGACGAAGTTCTGGTTCCTACCACCTACACCCTAGGACCGCTATCAGTTCCAGCTGCTTCCACAACCGAAGTAGTATCAGGATCATCTACTGCTACCGAAGTCGTATCCTTCTACAGCACCACCAATTCCGCTGGTGACGAAGTTCTGGTTTCTACCACCTACACCCTAGGTCCTCTATCAGTTCCAGCTGTTTACACAACCGAAGTAGTATCAGGATCATCTACCTTTACCGAAGTCGTTTCCTTCTACAGCACCACCAATTCCGCTGGTGACGAAGTTCTGGTTTCTACCACCTACACCCTAGATCCTCTATCAGTTCCAGCTGTTTACACAACCGAAGTAGTATCAGGATCATCTACTGCTACAGAAGTCGTATCCTTCTACAGCACCACCAATTCCGCTGGTGACGAAGTTGTGGCTTCTACCACCTACACCCTAGGTCCTCTATCAGTTCCAGCTGCTTACACAACCGAAGTAGTATCAGGATCATCTACTGCTACAGAAGTCGTATCTTTCTACAGCACCACCAATTCCGCTGGTGACGAAGTTGTGGCTTCTACCACCTACACCCTAGGTCCTCTATCAGTTCCAGCTGTTTACACAACCGAAGTAGTATCAGGATCATCTACTGCTACAGAAGTCGTTTCCTTCTACAGCACCACCAATTCCGCTGGTGACGAAGTTGTGGCTTCTACCACCTACACCCTAGGTCCTCTATCAGTTCCAGCTGTTTACACAAGCGAAGTAGTATCAGGATCATCTACTGCTACAGAAGTCGTTTTCTTCTACAGCACCACCAATTCCGCTGGTGACGAAGTTGTGGCTTCTACCACCTACACCCTAGGTCCTCTATCAGTTCCAGCTGTTTACACAACCGAAGTAGTATCAGGATCATCTACTGCTACAGAAGTCGTTTCCTTCTACAGCACCACCAATTCCGCTGGTGACGAAGTTCTGGTTTCTACCACCTACACCCTAGGTCCTCTATCAGTTCCAGCTGTTTACACAACCGAAGTAGTATCAGGATCATCTACTGCTACAGAAGTCGTATCCTTCTACAGCACCACCAATTCCGCTGGTGACGAAGTTGTGGCTTCTACCACCTACACCCTAGGTCCTCTATCAGTTCCAGCTGTTTACACAACCGAAGTAGTATCAGGATCATCTACCTTTACCGAAGTCGTTTCCTTCTACAGCACCACCAATTCCGCTGGTGACGAAGTTCTGGTTTCTACCACCTACACCCTAGATCCTCTATCAGTTCCAGCTGTTTACACAACCGAAGTAGTATCAGGATCATCTACTGCTACAGAAGTCGTATCCTTCTACAGCACCACCAATTCCGCTGGTGACGAAGTTGTGGCTTCTACCACCTACACCCTAGGTCCTCTATCAGTTCCAGCTGTTTACACAACCGAAGTAGTATCAGGATCATCTACTGCTACCGAAGTCGTATCCTTCTACAGCACCACCAATTCCGCTGGTGACGAAGTTGTGGCTTCTACCACCTACACCCTAGGTCCTCTATCAGTTCCAGCTGTTTACACAAGCGAAGTAGTATCAGGATCATCTACTGCTACAGAAGTCGTTTCCTTCTACAGCACCACCAATTCCGCTGGTGACGAAGTTGTGGCTTCTACCACCTACACCCTAGGTCCTCTATCAGTTCCAGCTGTTTACACAACCGAAGTAGTATCAGGATCATCTACTGCTACAGAAGTCGTTTCCTTCTACAGCACCACCAATTCCGCTGGCGACGAAGTTCTGACTTCTACCACCTACACCCTAGGTCCTCTATCAGTTCCAGCTGCTTACACAAGCGAAGTAGTATCAGGATCATCTACTGCTACCGAAGTCGTATCCTTCTACAGCACCACCAATTCCGCTGGTGACGAAGTTGTGGCTTCTACCACCTACACCCTAGGTCCTCTATCAGTTCCAGCTGCTTACACAAGTGAAGTAGTATCAGGATCATCTACTGCTACAGAAGTCGTATCTTTCTACAGCACCACCAATTCCGCTGGTGACGAAGTTCTGACTTCTACCACCTACACCCTAGGTCCTCTATCAGTTCCAGCTGCTTACACAACCGAAGTAGTATCAGGATCATCTACTGCTACCGAAGTCGTATCCTTCTACAGCACCACCAATTCCGCTGGTGACGAAGTTCTGGCTTCTACCACCTACACCCTAGGTCCTCTATCAGTTCCAGCTGCTTACACAAGCGAAGTAGTATCAGGATCATCTACTGCTACAGAAGTCGTATCCTTCTACAGCACCACCAATTCCGCTGGTGACGAAGTTGTGACTTCTACCACCTACACCCTAGGTCCTCTATCAGTTCCAGCTGCTTACACAACCGAAGTAGTATCAGGATCATCTACTGCTACAGAAGTCGTATCTTTCTACAGCACCACCAATTCCGCTGGTGACGAAGTTCTGGCTTCTACCACCTACACCCTAGGTCCTCTATCAGTTCCAGCTGTTTACACAACCGAAGTAGTATCAGGATCATCTACTGCTACAGAAGTCGTTTCCTTCTACAGCACCACCAATTCCGCTGGTGACGAAGTTGTGGCTTCTACCACCTACACCCTAGGTCCTCTATCAGTTCCAGCTGTTTACACAACCGAAGTAGTATCAGGATCATCTACTGCTACCGAAGTCGTATCCTTCTACAGCACCACCAATTCCGCTGGTGACGAAGTTCTGGCTTCTACCACCTACACCCTAGGTCCTCTATCAGTTCCAGCTGCTTACACAAGCGAAATAGTATCAGGATCATCTACTGCTACAGAAGTCGTATCCTTCTACAGCACCACCAATTCCGCTGGTGACGAAGTTGTGACTTCTACCACCTACACCCTAGGTCCTCTATCAGTTCCAGCTGTTTACACAACCGAAGTAGTATCAGGATCATCTACTGCTACAGAAGTCGTATCCTTCTACAGCACCACCAATTCCGCTGGTGACGAAGTTGTGGCTTCTACCACCTACACCCTAGGTCCTCTATCAGTTCCAGCTGTTTACACAACCGAAGTAGTATCAGGATCATCTACTGCTACAGAAGTCGTATCCTTCTACAGCACCACCAATTCCGCTGGTGACGAAGTTCTGGTTTCTACCACCTACACCCTAGGTCCTCTATCAGTTCCAGCTGTTTACACAACCGAAGTAGTATCAGGATCATCTACCGTTACCGAAGTCGTTTCCTTCTACAGCACCACCAATTCCGCTGGTGACGAAGTTCTGGTTTCTACCACCTACACCCTAGATCCTCTATCAGTTCCAGCTGTTTACACAACCGAAGTAGTATCAGGATCATCTACTGCTACCGAAGTCGTATCTTTCTACAGCACCACCAATTCCGCTGGTGACGAAGTTGTGGCTTCTACCACCTACACCCTAGGTCCTCTATCAGTTCCAGCTGTTTACACAACCGAAGTAGTATCAGGATCATCTACTGCTACCGAAGTCGTATCCTTCTACAGCACCACCAATTCCGCTGGTGACGAAGTTGTGGCTTCTACCACCTACACCCTAGGTCCTCTATCAGTTCCAGCTGTTTACACAACCGAAGTAGTATCAGGATCATCTACTGCTACAGAAGTCGTATCCTTCTACAGCACCACCAATTCCGCTGGTGACGAAGTTGTGGCTTCTACCACCTACACCCTAGGTCCTCTATCAGTTCCAGCTGTTTACACAACCGAAGTAGTATCAGGATCATCTACTGCTACAGAAGTCGTTTCCTTCTACAGCACCACCAATTCCGCTGGTGACGAAGTTCTGGTTTCTACCACCTACACCCTAGATCCTCTATCAGTTCCAGCTGTTTACACAACCGAAGTAGTATCAGGATCATCTACTGCTACAGAAGTCGTATCCTTCTACAGTACCACCAATTCCGCTGGTGACGAAGTTGTGGTTTCTACCACCTACACCCTAGGTCCTCTATTAGTTCCAGCTGTTTACACAACCGAAGTAGTATCAGGATCATCTACTGCTACAGAAGTGGTATCCTTCTACAGCACCACCAATTCCGCTGGTGACGAAGTTCTGGTTTCTACCACCTACACCCTAGGTCCTCTATCAGTTCCAGCTGCTTACACAACCGAAGTAGTATCAGGATCATCTACTGCTACCGAAGTCGTATCCTTCTACAGCACCACCAATTCCGCTGGTGACGAAGTTGTGGCTTCTACCACCTACACCCTAGGTCCTCTATCAGTTCCAGCTGCTTACACAAGCGAAGTAGTATCAGGATCATCTACTGCTACAGAAGTCGTATCCTTCTACAGCACCACCAATTCCGCTGGTGACGAAGTTGTGGCTTCTACCACCTACACCCTAGGTCCTCTATCAGTTCCAGCTGTTTACACAACCGAAGTAGTATCAGGATCATCTACTGCTACAGAAGTCGTTTCCTTCTACAGCACCACCAATTCCGCTGGTGACGAAGTTGTGGCTTCTACCACCTACACCCTAGGTCCTCTATCAGTTCCAGCTGTTTACACAACCGAAGTAGTATCAGGATCATCTACCGTTACCGAAGTCGTTTCCTTCTACAGCACCACCAATTCCGCTGGTGACGAAGTTCTGGTTTCTACCACCTACACCCTAGATCCTCTATCAGTTCCAGCTGTTTACACAACCGAAGTAGTATCAGGATCATCTACTGCTACAGAAGTCGTTTCCTTCTACAGCACCACCAATTCCGCTGGTGACGAAGTTGTGGCTTCTACCACCTACACCCTAGGTCCTCTATCAGTTCCAGCTGTTTACACAACCGAAGTAGTATCAGGATCATCTACTGCTACAGAAGTCGTATCCTTCTACAGCACCACCAATTCCGCTGGTGACGAAGTTGTGGCTTCTACCACCTACACCCTAGGTCCTCTATTAGTTCCAGCTGTTTACACAACCGAAGTAGTATCAGGATCATCTACTGCTACAGAAGTTGTATCGTTTTATAATACCTTCTATGATTCCCAGGTTCAGAGAGTTTCAATGTATGATGCTCCAGTAGGATATTTTAATGTGTCTTCCGTTGTTGTTTTAAGTAAAAGTTTAGATTTTGTTATTAGTAGTAACAGTGGAATTCGTAGCGCACCTGTTGAAAGTTGTTTATCAAGTACTGTTATTATTTTGAGACATTATTCAGTGAATGCTGATGGTACTGCCACCATACTAAGTAAATCTTCCAGCAAAGAGACAGACTCTGTATTTACAAATCATAAATCTTCAAAGGCCAATCCAATATCCAGTAATTTAATATGCACTTCTTGCGATGTGACATCTTCAACTAATGTTGAATCAGTACATAGATCCACTGATATAATTGGATCGATTCCAGAGAATTTGTCAAACGTTAGAACCTCATTTATGAGCTCTCCTATTGCTAGGGAGACTCCTACAGCAACAGAAAATAATAGTTCGGACAAAACAGTCAATGATGTTACTATACTAATTATTTCTAGCGATAAAATTGTTATAACCTCATCAATTCCATCATCTTCTGCTGCTAGTGAGACTACTAACCTAACGGACAATACTGCTACTCACATTACTTCAAACGACCCAACAGACAACACTTCTACTCACATTACTTCAACCGACCCAGCAGATAATACTACAAGTACAACCTCATCAGTTCCACCAGCTTCTGTTGCTAGTGAGATTACTAACCCAACAGACAACACTTCTACTCACATTACTTCAACCGACTCTGCAAGTCACACAACTGTTATAACCTCATCAATTCCATCATCTTCTGCTGCTAGTGAGACTACTAACCTAACAGACAACACTTCTACTCACATTACTTCAACCGACTCTGCAAGTCACACAACTGTTATAACCTCATCAGTTCCACCATCTTATGCTGCTAGTGAGACTACTAACCCAACAGACAACACTTCTACTCACATTACTTCAACCGACTCTGCAAGTCACACAACTGTTATAACCTCATCAGTTCCACCAGCTTCTGTTGCTGGTGAGATTACTAACCCAACAGACAACACTTCTACTCACATTACTTCAACCGACTCTGCAAGTCACACAACTGTTATAACCTCATCAGTTCCACCATCTTATGCTGCTAGTGAGACTACTAACCCAACAGACAACACTTCTACTCACATTACTTCAACCGACTCTGCAAGTCACACAACTGTTACAACCTCATCAGTTCCACCAGCTTCTGTTGCTGGTGAGATTACTAACCCAACAGACAACACTTCTACTCACATTACTTCAACCGACTCTGCAAGTCACACAACTGTTATAACCTCATCAGTTCCACCAGCTTCTGTTGCTGGTGAGATTACTAACCCAACAGACAATACTGCTACTCACATTACTTCAACCGACAAAGCAGATAATACTACAAGTACGACCTCATCAGTTCCAAATTCTAATACACAAAGTGTAACTACATTAGTTCCATCAGGTAGCTCTATGACGGCCGTATCTTCAGATTTGAATATTTTTGTCACTGATGATGTCACATCTTCTGGATCTAACCCATCTGCTACTGTATGTATTTCTTCTACTTATGAAGGTGCAGGTGTATCACGTAAGATGAGCAATTCCTTATCCGGTTTGATTGGTATGATTGTTTTGGCAATTTTGGTTTAGTCTATTTAAGATTTATAACTACCGTTTTTAGTTCGTTAATTTATTCAAATATTGTATAAATAATCTAGACAATATATATTTTTTGTGTTATTTTATTAGATTTAAATTTAGAGAAGTGGCTGTTTTTCATCAGATCCATATTAAAATACTGTTCTTGTTTTATTAGATGAAAGGTTTATGCTATATAAAGGGATATTTTTCTATCTTAATGAGACTATTCCTACCGTCTATCTAATATTTATTTAATACTGTATAATATAATACAAGGATTGACGTTCCAATAATAGAGCTTATAATAAAGAATTACAACCTTGAAACCGTTAATTACTCCTTCTCAGTTTCGAACTTGCGTCAACATATACTAGTCTATAGAATTGTATGAAATCGAGAACGTTATATAAGTTAAAAAATCAAATAGAAATCGATTTTGGGTTAAATAACTTTCACTCAGTATCATAATTATTTTTTTTTTGTGAAATCAATATGATATTTATAAATATTCAACTGTTTATATATCATTAAAGAACTTTCTTTCTATGAATTATGTATATTATTGTTAAAATACATATATTGTCGAATCTTATTTAGTATTGAAATGAATAGTGATGAAAACATATTTTAGAATACCAATCCCATTATTAAGTATTTATAAATTTTATAATATTTAAATATAAAATATGTCAAAGTGAAGGGTTAATACACCAGAATATGAATACAATGTAGTTATTGTATGTATTTTAAATGGAGAGCTGTATAATATAATAATTTACCCCTTCTTAAAACTACAATTGTGACTAAATTGGTGGTTGGTATCCTTTTTGCTTTGGCATGTCTTAGAAAACATTAATGTCAGTTAAATCACTTCTATTTAAGTAAATATAGATAACAACTTGAAGCAAGCATATTATATTAGAGAGTCAGTGGATGCATTATTATACTGTCTATCTTTGACGTATTGTTTGGTAGGTATTTGGTAAGTTTTAATTATTATATAGTTGTATAGTTAATTTGGTGTACATTAGAATAAAGTCTGTTATTCATGTATTCTAGAGAAACTTAATGCGGAGATCTGTATTAGAGAGTAAATATACTACTAATTAATAATGTTACTGATGTTTTCTTTATATGCAAGTTAGCATACTAAATAATATACAATAATATACACTAATATACAATAATAACTCTTTATAGCAATAAATGTAACTGAAGCTAGTTTTGGCAATTGTTATTCTAATTATTCCATTGAATCGCAGTAACCTTACTATTTAGGTATAACTGCACCTCTATTAAAAACACGGTGATATAATTTATGACATCCTTATGTGATAAGGATTTGGTATTGATTACGCTTAAGTACAAAGGGATAAAAATATTTATATATTTAATATTACTATATAGTTATTATATTAGTTTTATAACCTCATATATCTTTTAACTAATAACCTTAAGTAATTATATCTACGGCTTGTTTCCCTATATAAATACATTAATACATTAATATTTAATATTCCGGACAAAAAAATTCAAAATGATGAGATTTATGTTTTGTTAGTTTTATATTTAGTGCTATAAATATTATTTATTATCAGTTGGATAAAAATGAAACTCATATAAGAAAAAATATTACAAAATGTAAAATTGTATTTTGAACTAAAAATTGTAAAATTATTTATATTAATATATAAGAAAGGAAAGAGTTATAATAAAATACTTACATTATACAAGTTAATTTTATGAATAGATGTAAATTGATATAATGCTATTGAAAGTATATTAAATGAATTAGTTCTGTGACAGAAAAATGGAAATGAGAATGGTAGAAACTGATATTATTCTGGTTTGAATTTCTGTTAGAGGGATCTTAAAATCTTATGAGGTGGGAATATATATAATTTAGTGTGTTTTAAATTATATATGATAATAATATAAGGTAGTTTAATATCCAGGTGTCGAAATAGATACAACAGTATAATGATAGATACAATAGTATAATGATGGATACAATAGTATAATGATAGATACAATATTAGAATGCGAGTAGGAAGATTGGGATAATTATTTGTGTCGATTTAGATTATTGGGATAATTATTTGTGTTGATTTAGATTATTGAAATAAATGAGATAGTTAATTATTATTTGGGTAGGATATATGAGATTAAGGCAAATGTGAATATTAGATTGTGACAGTGGGGATAAGAGGAGATAGAGTTGAGATGGTGAAAAATTACAACCAGAAATGAATTCACAAGCAGTGAATTATATTTATTAGATTTTAAGTCGAGCAATTGGAGTTACTATTAAATTTTTAATTTTACCAAAATACCATAGTTAAGGCGAGATTTTTGTCTTTTCATCTGAAATATTTTATTATGGGAAAATATATTTCATAGTGCGAGAAGAATCCCATAGTTAAGGCGAGATTTCTATATTTTGGGCAGAATTGCTTTATTATAGGAAGAAATTTTATTTTGTTCTTAAGGCTGGATAGAGTAAAAGTGCGTAGCCCAATATTAGGTAGTATTTTTCTCGGTTTGGTATTATTTTTTAGGATGGATCTTGGTTGGGCGACATGGATGAGAGTTGGTTATGTTTTTTAGGAAACGTGATATGGAACAGATTTTCGCGGGTCGGTGTTGTTTGTTAGGAAACGTGACATGGAAACAGGTTTTTCCGGGTCGGTCTTGTTTTTCAGGAAAGGTATTTAGTGCGCGACGGTGTATATAATAAGGATGGTTAAAAAGGATAATGTTTAAGATAGTGGTAGTTAAAGTGATGGTAATAAAAGTGATGGTTGTAGTTAAGTAGAGATAATGAAAATTGACTACAAAGGTAAAGTTGACATGGAGATTAAGATTATTGAATAAAAAATATACTTAACAATAAAAGTTGGTCTAATTCATTAAACAGATGGTTAGACACAATAATCATTAGTGACAGTATGATAAAAGATGAACCAGTTGAGATGGTGAAAATCTAAGACCAGATATGAAATCACAAGCATTGAATTATTAATATCAGATATTAGCTTCAACAATTGGAGTGACTTTAGATGCTAATTGATAGGGCCTTAACAGCTGAGGTAAGGTCGTATGAAGTGATCAGATTATTGAATAAATATAATGTTGTTACGCTACCATATTTGAAATTGATTTTCTGCATGTGGTTCACTATTATGTATTTTCTGTATTTCGAGCAGAATCCCATAGTTAAGGCCAATTTTTTGAAGTGCGAGCAGAATGGCTTCATTATGTAAAAATATTTTTTTGCAGTGCGAGCAGAATGAAAATGTTTTGCGAGCAGCGTGCAGTAAACTTGCGTAGGGTAGTATTAGGTAGTATTTTTCTCGGTTTGGTATTATTTTTTAGGATGGATCTGGGTTGGGCGACATGGATGAGAGTTGGTTATGGTTTTTAGGAAACGTGATATGGAACAGATTTTCGCGGGTCGGTGTTGTTTGTTAGAAAACGTGACATAGAAACAGGTTTTTCCGGGTCGGTCTTGTTTTTTAGGAAACGTGATATGGAAACAGGCTTTTCCGGGTCGGTGTTGTTTTTAGGAAACGTGACAAGGAAAGAGATTTTTTCCGGGTCGGTTTTGTTTTTTAGGAAAGGTATTAGGGGAGCGATGAAAAGAGATCGGTATTTTTTTTGGTAACGCGGCAAAGATAGTCATGTTAGGTGATTGATATGATTCATTTTTAAAAAAAGAAAAGGGATGTGATAGTAATATGAATTGTTGTAATATGTGGAGAAAATATAAACATTGTTGGATTCTGGGAATCAGTAGATGACAATCTTAAGTTATCCAGATCTAACCCTATGTCTGAAAGATATACTTTGCTGACAGGAACACATTCAGGGTAACTGTTAGTTTTCAAAAGGTATATAAGCAGACCAGATTTCAAGTTTCTAGAAAATATTTTCTCTTTTCTAATGTTCACTTTATGAACTAAATTATATTTTATATTTTGTATACTATATTTAGAATTTATAAAAAACCAAGAGCTTGAATAAACAACTAACGTATAATTGTACTTATACCTTAGATCTCAGTTAATATATCCACTATCACTCCAGTACAACCATGTCCCACCCTGATCAACAGTCCAATAACACTCACCTATTCCAATCTCAAGAAATAGGTGCCGTCCTGGTTTCGAACCTGCGCAAACATAGAAAATATTTTCTCTTTTCTAATGTTCACTTTATGAACTAAATTATATTTTATATTTTGTATACTATATTTAGAATTTATAAAAAACCAAGAGCTTGAATAAACAACTAACGTATAATTGTACTTATACCTTAGATCTCAGTTAATATATCCACTATCACTCCAGTACAACCATGTCCCACCCTGATCAACAGTCCAATAACACTCACCTATTCCAATCTCAAGAAATAGGTGCCGTCCTGGTTTCGAACCTGCGCAAACAAAGGGTTGATTTATAGGAATGGTGTAGAGGAATGGTGTAGAGGAGTGGTGTAGAGGAGTGGTGTAGAGGTGTGGTGTAGAGGTGTGGTGTAGAGGTGTGGTGTAGAGGTGTAGAGGTGTGGTGTAGAGGTGTGGTGTAGAGGTGTAGAGGTGTGGTGTAGAGGTGTAGAGGTGTGGTGTAGAGGTGTGGTGTAGAGGTGTGGTGTAGAGGTGTGGTGTAGAGGTGTGGTGTAGAGGTGTGGTGTAGAGGTGTGGTGTAGAGGTGTGGTG